TGATTTTAGTTCCCACCTTCAGCTCTTGGTCTTCTATTGGGTACCCTCTATGCTGAGCAACAGTTGTAATAAAAGCTTCAAGCTGCACAGGAACTTATTTTCTGTTGGATACTGTATCCATCAACTCCACATAAGCACTCTGTGAGACAGGTATTATCATTACCCCGATTCCACAGATAAGGAACTCGTTCAGGTTATAGCCACTGAGCAGTGGAACTCACAGTTGAACGCCTATGATCTGGTTCTGTGATTTCATGCACTTCATTAGACTCACACTTATATCTTTTCTATTCTATTACAAAAAAAAAGAAATTCTATTGGGGGCTGGAGAGATGGCTCAGCAGTTAAAAGCTCTGGCTACTCTTGCAGGTTCGGTTCCCAGCACCCACATAGTGGCTAACAATCATCCCTAAACCCAGTTCTAGGGGAATCTGATGCCCTCTTCTGGCCTCTATGGGTACTGCATAACACAAGAGCACTCACATGCACACAAAACATTCATACACATAAAAAGAAAATAAATTGAAAATTTTAAAGAAACTGCTATTGGGACATTGGAATACTGATATAGAGTCCCCTATCTGTGACATTATAGTGCCAGATGTCACAGAAATAAATATCTGGACCAAAAAGACAGGAAGCAAGCTCAAAATTGGAAGTGACCCTTGGCTCAAGAATATTTACCTCAAAACTAAAATGGGCCCTTAAATCATCTATATTATCTATTAGGAAAGCCAGAGAATGGGACCCAAGTCTATTCAAATTGATACTGAACTTCCCAATTTTTACTAAGTTTATACATTAAAGTATTCAAGAATAGATCTGCCAAATACACTGTTCTATGTCCTTCATAAAAACAATGATTATATAGAAAAAAATTTCCTTTCATTCAAGTTTTCCCTTTGATATTCCTAAAATTCTAAATGTATCTGCTTTCACATTAGCTAAACATAATAATATTGACAAGAATCTGTAATTAACATTAGTTAAGTCACAATTTTTCTTGGAAAAATACTAAGTATCATACTTTATCTGAGTACCAATGATATAAACTCCAGAAAATTGCCTGTTTTCACGATTGCAATAACATTTTGAGGAAATCACAAGTGGCTATACCTGGCCCTTTGCTGTAATAATCAAACACTGCAGTTTAAAAATTTTACTCTGATCATAGCCAAGCGTGGTGGTGCAGGTCTCTAATCCAAGTACTCAGGAGATGGAAGCAGAAGGATATCTGTGAGTTTAAGGCTAGCCTGGTCTACACAGAGAGTCCTAGGCCAGCTACAATTACATAGTGAGACCCTGTTTCAAAATTTTTTTTCTATGATCTAATTAATTATAATGGATAATTAGAATGGATTCTCCCAGTATAAAAACAATTAACTGTTCTGTTTCTAGAGCTACAAGTGAAGTGACGGTGCTTGTACCAGTGGAAGAGCTTCAGTGGCTCTCCAAATTCATGCTGGTTAGTGTCTCTTATCTTAATATGTCTCAGAATACAAAAATTTAAAAGCTAGTGGCTGGCCAGATGGCTCAGAAGGTACAGGCACTCTCCTCCAAGCCTGAAAACCTGAGTTTGATCCCTAGGGACTAACATGGTATAAGAACTCCCACTATGATATTCCAGGGGAATTCCAATCCCTTATGGATCATAGTTTCAACAGCCTAATAGCCAAAGCAGGAGGGGGTGGGGCACAGGAGGCTGATACACAAGTGTCTCTTTAGAATATCCTCAATCATATATATATATATTTTTTCCCCAAATGGACAAAACTCCTGCAAGTCTGTTCTCTGCCCCCCCAAGTAAATAAATAAAGAAGGTAGCATAGGAAGATTAGTATTTAGATGACTCTGAAATAAGGCCAAGTCTAACCAGGTTTACCTATATAAAAAGATCACATTT